AGGCACACCTTCAACAGTCAGCCAGATAGTTTCCAACTGTGCCTTAATCTTTACTTCATGCTTACACAGAGATTCAAGGCAGCCAGAAGTGAGAGTTTAGGGCCTTCTCAGCTATTTCCTAAGTATGTGCACAGCCTTGGGCATGCCCATTGCCTTCTGGATCCCAAGGAATATGTCACAGCTTTTCAGACCTCCCTACAGACAGATAATTCCCCAGATTTTCCTTTTAAACTTTTTGGTCAACCTGTTATCTACCCCGAACTGCTATCAGCCACTTTAGCCATCATGATTTTCAACATTTGCCTCTGATTGTTTTCAACAAATGCCTGAGAAGAAGCTGTTCACACTAAATTAGCTCCAAGTCAGGTCAAAGAAAGACAACCTTGCAAGTGAGATCTAGCGAAGTACCGGTTGGATCAAATAATGACGGTTCTTTGGGACTGGACTTTGAAGAAGCTCCAGCCCTGTTCTGCCCCCTTCAGAGATGCCAGGCTGCTAGTGGTCACCATGATTGTGGGCTGTTGGTTGAAGACTACCATGGAACTGGAGGTGAGCAGAAGTAGAAATAGCACCAGTTAAAATGTCCACATTTCACTGTTCTTACTGACACTTACCTGTGCATCTGCAAACTTTTGATTGATTAATTTTCAGAGTTCTGAAAACGTTTATTCTAATGAATGTTGCCAGTGTTCCCACTGGTTTTATGGAGGAGGGATTGGGGCGGGGGGCTCCTTTTCTACACTTTTTTTTTTTCTGATGTCACACTGGAAATTCCAGACTTTAATGAACCTCAGGTCCAGTTGCACACAATTGGGTAGTGAAAGCTGCAATGAGACACAGCACTTTGTCTTTAAATTTGTTTATTGTCCTCTACTTCTCTCATTGTAAAACCTACAACCTGTAGCCCGTGTGGAATGGCCTGTCGTCCAGCAGCTTGTTCTCCGGGGCACGTGACAGCTATTCCTCAGTTGAGGTCCTGGCACTGGGTGGTGGTTTGGCCATAATTTGCTGCTTTTTGCACGTGTCATCTTTTTGTCATTTTGTGGCATTGGTGGTTTGACACACATCTCACTGTTGGAGGGCAACAGACGAGCCCGTCGTGGAGCTTTACCTCTTGGCTCCCGTGTCCTAAGCACTTATGTATCTTAGTTTTTTGTTTACCATTTGGGGCTTCTAAAAGCAGGAAACATTCACATCCAAAGGGCATTTGGATTTGTTCTTTCAGTCTTGCACATAGGAAGATGCAGAAGACATTCAGTTCCTAAGTCAGGTCTCACACGTGGTCGTAGTCTTTGGCTGTCCCTCCGGTTCCCTCATGTCCCAGTGAAACGGCCCCAGCAGCATCATAAGGTGGTGAGATGGAACCTGGAAGGCAGATCGTGGCTAGCAGGGGCGCACAGATTCAAGCTGCTGCCACTACTTTTCCCATCTGTCCCTCCCCTGAATGTCTTCTCATGAGAATTTTATGAGAGAGTTAGCCATTTTGCTCATATTAATATGTAATCCAAACATATCGTGCGTTAATATTATTACCTTATGCCTGTAACTCATTTGAAAGATGAGCCTTATTCTTTATAAGCACCTTACGTATTGGTGTCTGTGAGGAACCCAGAAAAGAACACGGACTCTCAGGAATTTTCTGTCAGGGAAGGGGGTTCACTGTTCCACAAGGAGTTAACGTCATTTCTGCATGGAGGCCAATGTCAGTTTTAATAAATGAGTTGTGTGGGCTATAGGCTTTTTCTTAACTTCTGACTTCTTTCAAGCTTGAGAGGTTGGGCCATCTGTGGGAAGAGTCTGGGCAGTGAGCCCTACATTTGGGTTTTCACTGTGCCCTCAAATTATTTTTCATTTCCTTGACATCTTTCTCATTCAAGACGGCAAGTGAACCTTTGTGCTGTGTAAGTTGTAGTATTCAGTGACAGGGTATTATGAGTTCTTTGTGCACATAATTCCATGTTATGAAAACCTTTCACCAACTTCTTAAATTGGCTGGTTTGAAGTGCACATTGTGTTACGGCATAATCTGTATTATTAAGAATATGAACTTGGGGAATTAGCATCAGATCTTTGAGAAAGAATTGGGAGTTCAGAGAGAATGACTTGCCTTCACCCTTCAGTCTTGATTCAGGGCACATCATTTAACATGTCACTTCTTCTAAGTGTTTGACTTCTGTTTCTTCATGGGACGCGCTGAGATGATTTCAAAACTTTTAACTGTATCGGGGGGTGAAATTACCGAGAGATTCCTTAAAGAAAATGCTTTCTTCAGTTGTTGCTATTTTTCAGTGACCAATCATAATATATGGCTTATTATAAACCACATATATTGTTGATAGCAAATCATGTGCTGGCCAGGTCCTGCGCAGACAGGATCACAGAGACGCAGTCTCTGCCTCCAAGAACTTGACACCAAAGACTGAAAGTACTTACATGTGTAAAGATTTGGAAGATACACTGACAATCGGATATTCCAACGTGGTCCATGCATATGTCTCTTTCACTGCTTAAATTCTAAATTTCCTCCATGAACCAGGACACAAAATCACACTAAGGAACATACATGTCCTGGAATTCGAGAATTTGAGGGCTCCCTTCCTGTCCCTTAAAAGCTCCTGGTTTGATCATTTCCATTCAGTTCATTCAGCGTCATTTAAGTGCACTTTCTCTGTGCCATGCCCTTTGCCACACCCTCATATTAGTTACTTATGCTGTGTAACGAGCTACCCAGAACTTAGTGGACTAAAGCGACAGCTTAGAGGCTTGGCTGGGTGGTGTGGGCTTGGCAACTCGTGAGGTGGCAGTCATCTGAGGGCCGGACCGGGGCTGGAGGGCCTGCTCTGAGACGGCTTGCTTCGCTGGCGAGTGGTACTAAGGGTTAACAGGAAGCCTTTTTCCGTGCCATGAGACCTGCTTGCCTGTCCTTATGACGTGGCGATGGCCTCTTCCCAGAGCGGGTGGCCCGAGAAAGTCAGGTAGAGGGCCACAATGACTCTGACCTAGCCCCGGCAGTTACACCCTGCCCAGTGCCCTTGGTTCAGAGGTCAGCCCTATGCAATGTGGAAGTGTCTACACCGGGGTGCAAATACCGGGAGGCAAGCATCCCTGCGGGCCATCCTGGGGGCTGGTTATTGCAGCCCTAGAGATGGAAAGATGAACTGAGGTGAACATGTTTCCACGGGAAACGCATCATTGAAGGAAAGAAACCAGCTGATTAGAACAGAGCCTTCAACAAGCAGCTCGCTGCTTGGTTCATTGCTGTGGTGTGCTGGCCACCCCTGGCCAGGTCCCACTGCCTCCTCCACCCTCTCCCTGAGTGACTCTTGACCATGGGGTGCCCCTCGTATGTATGGCTGGCCACCACTTACTGAGCTCGGATCAGTAGGGAAAAAGGAAGCTTTGGGGCTGCTATCACTGAACGGTTTGGCTTCAACCCCCTTCAGCTTTCTGACTTCAGCCCCCATGTTAAGGATCCTGGAGGCCCTGTCCGTTCTCAGAGACACTCTGGGTTAGTCCAGAGAATGCGGTTCCCGTTGGAATAGCCCTTTCATGCCTGTGAGGCAGCTTTCTCTGCAGCTACTGCTTACCTTCCGTTGGGGGTTGAATTTTGTCGGCTGCCCCACGCCCCCGCCATGGATGCACTGAAGGCCAGACCTCCGGTACCTGTGAATGTGACCTTAGAAACACGGTCTTTGCAGATGTGATTAGTTAAGTTGAAGTCACACTGGACTACCGTGGGCCCCTTACAAGAGGAGACCTAGAGATGCCCAGAGCACGCACAGAGGGGAGCGCCCCATGAAGACGGTGTCCCAGAGGGAAACTGCCACGTGCTGACTGAGAGCCAGGTGAGGGGCCTCCAAGCCGAGGACACCAAGGAGCCCCGGGACCGGCAGGAGCCAGAGAGGCAGAAAGGAGGCCCCAGAGCCTCACGGGGGCGCCCCCGTGGACTTGTCCCTGCACAGCTGTGAGACCGCACCTTCCTGTCGTCTGAAGCCACGCACTGGTGGCACTTTGTTACGTCAGCCTCAGCACATGAATGAACCTCCAGGGACGCGGCATCTAATAGTGTTACTGCTGGTTAAGGACGGGTGAAAACGGTTTAGAGGAGGAAGTAAGAGAACTGGAGCAAACCCTGTTGCTCGAGGTAGGGGTGTGCAAAGAAGTCAGTCTCTGCCCTTTGAAAGAGTGAAAAGCTGTGCGAGGTGAGGGACGATGGTAGTAATACAATAGGGACACTGTGCACCAACTGTGTGCCCGGCGCCCCTTTGGGAGCTCCACGTGCGACCCGTCCAGTCCCGATCTCCGCCCAGTGAGAGGGTCCTGGTCGCAGGGCTTCCGCTGAGCACGCTCACGGGGGCTGCCTGGGCACGAGGGCCCCAGCACACGGCCCCTCGCTCTGCCTGAGCCCAGGAGCCATGGACCCCAAACGTCAGGCCCAACGGGAGAGGTGCCTGCGATGGAGGGCCCCCACGGGAAGGCTTCCCTTGGGGGTGGGGGAAGGGGCCCAGAACGTTCCCACAGCTAGAAGCACGGGAATAGGGGCCGCCGCCCAAGAGTCACCCTGGAGGCCCAGGTTCTTCTGTTGGGGCGAGTCTAGAGAAGGGGGGACAGTGGAAGGCCCTCCTTAATACAGAGACGCTCAGCCGGTGGAATGTGGCTATCAGCCAAGAGGTGTTCTCCTTCTATTCAGCCTTGGGACAGCTCACCCTAATGTTGAGGAACCGTTTCTGGGGAGTTGGGGTGGGGGGCCCCGCTCATGGGTGGCAGAGGGGCTTTTCTGGAGAAGAGTCGAGGGCGCTGCCTGCACCACTGTCCCCATGGGCAGCCCTCGGCTGTCCTCTGCGTGGCCCACGTGGAGCCTCACGCGTCTGTGGGGACGTCGAGCCCTCGGCAGTGGCCCCAGGGGGGAGGTGGTGGAGGAGAGGCCGCGGGCAGCAGGGGCAGGGCGCCACCTGCCTCGGGCGGGAGGCCCGACTTCCGTAACGGAAACTGTTTTCCAGTCTATGTGCAGGTGTTCTCTGTCTTGATCGTGATCATCGCCGGGGCCTTCATCATCACTATCATTTACAGGTCAGTCGCTCCTCCACTGAACGCACCTGCAGAAGGTGCGGGACTCAGGGTGGCGAGGAGTGGGTGGGGCTGTCGCGGTCGGAGGGGCCCAGCGGCTCCCCCAGAGCTCCTGATGATGCCCCCCAGCAGTAAAGGAGCTCCCACATGGTCCGTGTTCTGCTCGCCCCCCTCCGCCCATGAGCCGGCCCGGGGCTCCCCGCCCGGTGTGTCTGCAGGGTGCTCAGCGCTGTGAGGCACAGTGTAGACGTGCTCCAGGCAGGAATCTCCCCTCTCGTTTCGGTGACGAGGACGCAAGGCCATGGCAGCTGGCGGCTGCCCACGGTCAGAGCCTGGATTCATCGTTGCCACCCGGGGCGGAGTGCCCCCACCACGAGCCCCCTTACGACACAGATAGGAGCCCCGGAGACTAGCACGTCACTTTGTCCAGCAGCAAAGAAAACCACTCCCCTGCTCTGAGTGGTGCCAGGTGACGTCTTGAGTGACCTGCCCGCACACTCACCCCGTCCCTGCTCTGTTCTCGCCCTCGGGCATCTGGACGCCGAGCACGACTGTATGTGTGGTGCGCCTATCAGGAGCTGAAGTGGGCACGGCTAAGGCAAAGCATGTGTCCCCTGTTTTAGGGAGACGGCCTGGTGAAGGACCGGACGGCCCATCGAGTTGTCCACCTTCAATTTCTCTCTTCCCATCAGAGTCGTTCAAGAGAACAGGAGAGAAAAGGAAGTGCCCACGGACGTACCTCTTTCTCCTAAGTCCAGCGAGAAAGCAGAGGCAGCCCCATCCGGCGGGCAGGTGGCCTCCCAGCCCGCGAGTATGGAGCCACTGAGCAAGAGTGAGAGCATCAGGGGGGGGAATGGTAAGACGGCAGGTCGTCCAGGCACAGGGCGCAGCTTGGCTCCTCCAGAGACCCTGTCCGGGACAGGCACGCCCCCGGGGCGGGCAGGGCAGGGAGGCGCGCGGGCGGCCCTGGGGCTGGGCGAGTCGGCATCCGCCGAGCGAATCGGGTGCTTCCTGGTGGGGGTGCGGAAACGCGTGGCCCAAGGGCTGGGAGCAGCCCCTCAGGACCCGGCACCTGTTATTAACTGTCTCCAGAGGGGAGGGCTTTGGCGGGTTGCTTGTTGCTCTTCACAGGTGAGCACCTGGCCAGCTTAGAGCAGGAAGCACCCCAAACCCTCAGCTCTACCTCAGGCTGTGTGGGTGCGTGCTCTCTGGGCCTCTTGTTCCCCATTAGCTGTGAAGACTCGGTTTCACCGTAGCTACGGGGCAGAGAAAAGGCCTACCCAGACATCTTGTCGGGTCTGGACGCCTGCCCCTGCCGAGCTGTCTGAGCCGCGGTACTTTCCCTCAGGGCAGGACGTGCACCCCCTTGTCGGGGGCTTCTGCAGAGTGAGGCCACGAGAAGTGGAGACACTTCTCCTTTGCTGACAGGGAGCCGGGGCAGACAGACTGTTGACCAGACTTGTCTTTGACTAGATCATGGCCATGTAGATGGGTTCGCAGACCTGATGGCATGCCCTTGGGACTGCTGAGCATTCCATGCAGCAAACCTGCTCTTTGTTTGATCTTCAATCCAGCTTCCTTGACAATAATGGAAGAGGAAGAGACTGAGGACTGAGGGCATGCCGAAGCCCGAGTGAAGATCGGCAGAGACGCCCACCGAACGGGCCCGGCCGGTGGGCCGCCGTGAAGTGTGTGATGGAAAGAGCCACAATGAGGGAACAGTAAAGGTATTTTCAGTGCTTCCTGTCGCGTGCTGTCGTAGTCACTGCGGCCTTTCCGTCTTCGGGCAGACCCAGCCCGCGGGAGCAAGGACGCTGAGTGGAAGCTCTCGGCGGCCAGCTGTGCCGCCTGTGACCGCTGCTGGAGCCCCGCGAAGCCGCCACGCCTCTTCTCGGAACACAGGCTGCACCTGCATGGGGTGGGCATGTCGATACGACTCGCGGGGAGGCTCAGGACCGGCCCAGCAGCGAGCTGTGCGAGGAGAGGCCCGGCATCGGCCTCTGGGAGGCCCCAGGCCACCTGCTGCAGCTTCCTCACGGCCCCTCTTCCAGGGCGGAACACACCTAGGTTCCAGAGTGACGGGCAAGCGCTAACTGGCGGGGGGATGCAGCCCAGGGAGCCCCTTGGTCTTGGAGAATCTCTGCCTTCCACCTTGAAAACTTGGGTTCTCCAGAGCAGCTGTGGCTCAGGCATCCATACACGGCAGGCTTAATATATACATATGTGGGTGTGCATACGTGCATATATATATATATGGCAGTTCACTTATGTACACACACACGTGCACATGTACATGCATGTGTGTGCCTGTGTACGTACATGTGTGTGCACACGTTTATGTGTGGGTGCGCATGCACGCACGTATGTGCACACATGTGGACGTGCATGCATGTATGCACACACGTGTAAGCACACAGTGCATGTATACAGTACACGTGCACATGTATGTACGTGTGTACATGTGTGTGTTGTGTGTGTGTGTACATATAAACAATCCAGTTGAACAGACACATACTCTGCTTAAAGGGTGTATACAGTACACGTGCACATGTATGTACGTGTGTACATGTGTGTGTTTGTGTGTGTGTGTACATATAAACAATCCAGTTGAACAGACACATACTCTGCTTAAAGGGGTGACTGCTCAACACTGACGGTCAGGGCAACAGGTCAAGCCCAGCGGGCAAGTGGGCAGGGCCCGGCTCTGGGGGCCCGAGGGCAGCTCCCCTGGTTCCTGCTTTCAGGGCTTCCTTGTCAGAGCTGTCAGTGGGCCGAAGTTCATCGGTTCCCGTCAGCCTCAGAGTTATGGAGGGACCGGAAGGGAAGGATCGGTGCCCCGAGGAAGAGCTTATTATGGCTTCTGTGGGCTGGAGCAAATCTGCACACCGTGAACAGAAGGGGCATGAGCCATGTGGGCCATTTTGCATTGTTTTGAAAAGTAAAATAGATGAAGTGAAGTAGTACATTCTGTTCAACCCAATGTATCCGAAATCTGTCCTCCACAGTCAGGATAGAAACACGAGGAACATGATGCTTACTGTGTCCTTTTATGAATCTCTGTGTGTTTTACACTTTGAGAGTGTCTCAGCCCTGATGAGCCCCGTTTTCAAGGCCTAATGTGGCCAGGGGCTGCGTGTTGGACGGTGTAGCTCTGGAGGCAGGAAAGGGGCTGGGGGACCCGAGGGCAGCCCACCCCCCTTGCTCACAGTCCCAGGGCGGTCATGGGCGCAGCAGGCGGCCGTGAGACTCGCTGCGTGGCGCTGGGTTGGCCTAACCCCTTCTCTGTGGGGCACCCTCCTGCCCGGTGCCCCCTCCTGCCCTTTGTGGAGTGGCTGGTTTAACCCTCACCTAGGTTGGGAAGGAGCATCAGCCAGTCGAAACTGAGTAGAATAGACTCCATTTGTGGGACTCTATGGCTTCATACGTTCTTACCTCCTCCTTACAAAATCCTATTACAGAAGATGTGAAAAATCCAGAAAAGAAGATAGAAATACGTTGCCTGTGTCCCTACGACTGCGAATGACCACAGTTAGTACTTGATCACACACACTGTTTGCTCCTTCTCTGACCCCACAGTATGGTGAGGCCAGCCTGTCCCTCAGGACAGTGGTAGACACTGATCTTTGGTCCTGGTGATGGTTCATTTTAGGTATCAACCTGGCTCAGATATTTACACGAGCGTAATTCTGGGTGTGTCTGGGAAGATATTTCTGGATGAGCTTAGCACGACGGCTCAACCTAGTGTCGGTGGGCCTCATCCAATCAGTCGAAGGCCTGAATAGAACAATAAGGCTGATCGTCCTGTGAGTAGGAGGGAATTCTTCCTGCCTGATTGCCTTTTCAACTGAGACACTGGCTTTTCCCTGCCTTTGATCCAAACTGAAAGATGGGTTCTCCTGGCCTTGAGCCTGCCAGACTTCAGACTTGCACTTAAAGCCTTGGCTCTCCTCTCCTCCAGCCTGCTGACGGCACATCTGGGGACCTGTCAGCCTCCGTGACTGCATGAGCCAATTCTTTAGAACCAATTGATCTCCTGTGGGCTCTGTTTCTCTGGAGAACCCCGACCAACACCCCCAGTGTAATGAAGACGTTGGCCTTAGCCCGAGGAGAGGTCTGGTCTTTGTCGCTGGTGCCTGGGAGGTGATCTCTGTCCTTTGGTGTTTCTCGAGGGCTAGACGTGTGTCTGTGATTCAGGGCGGGCCCCCAGACAGTTGATGCTAACAGGAGGACTCAGGGTGGAGTTGGCTGCACCAGAGACACTGACCACGGGACGTCAGCCCACCCTCCGGGAGGGAAGAGGGCTGGAGATTGAGTTCAACCACATGGGCAACAATGCAGTCAATCGTGTCTATATAACGTAGCCCCGCTAAACACGGGACACTGGGCTGGGCTGAGCGCCCCTGGTCGCTGACCGTCCTGGATGTGGTGGGAAGGTGATGCACCCTGTGGGACCCTCCACCTTGTCCTATGCATCTCTCCCTTTGACTATTCTGATTTGCACCCTTTTGTCATAATAAAACTTTAATCATAAGTATAGTGCTTCCCTGAGTTGTGTGAGTTGTTCTAGCAACTTGTGGAACGCAAGGGTGGTCGTGAAGGCCCCCGACTTTGCAGCCAACTGGTCTGAAGTGTGGGTGGCCTAGGGGCCACAGACTTGGGGCTGGCACCTGAGTGAAAGCAGTCTTGTGGAAACTGGCTAAACTCCCCGGTGCCCCCTTCCTCACGGCAGCGATCTGCCCCCGGGCCCCACGGCTGGCGGCCCGCCCTGGGGCAGACAAGAACCCACGTTCTCTTTACCCGCCTCATCCTGTGAGGGGACAGCCCGGGAATGCTCATCTTGGCCTTGTTGATGCCCAGAAGGAGGGAGAGACCCGGCCGGGTCATGCAGAAGGTGGGGGAGGCCCGCCTGACCTCGGGGAGCCAGGAGCATCCTGCCTGAAATGTTGGCAGCGTTTTCTGCCCTCCACGCTGCATTTCCGAATGGTTTTGTGCTTCGCCGCTGAAGCCTGTTGCGCGGCCACAATGGGCACGCCACGAGACAGCCTCCGCGATCGGCCTGTGTGGTACCTGACAGATTATGTAATAATTCTCATTGTCCTCCCTTGTCTGAGAATAAAAACGCTGTATTCTGAAAGTCAGGTGGCGTACACTATAATCTGATCTTTTGATGAAGCAAAGAAAAGCTGATTTATTTTTAGATAATGAACTTGCTGATAAGTCTTAATTTGGATCCCGTGTATTTAAGTGCCTGGTACAGTTCGGCACGTCCCCCATTCCGTGTGTATGTGTGTGTTGATATGTCACCCACGGGGACGTGGCACTTCCTGGGTTGAATCCACACAGAGCGTGCCGTTGATGCTTCACAAAGGAGAAAATAAAGTCAGAGCGTTTTCTTTGGCATACAGCTCTCCCTTCCCGCCCATCTTTGTGCTTCTTTCTAGGTTGCAAGCAAATAGATTTTTAAAATGAACCCCAATCTCTTGCCTTCCCAGAGTGATTTTAGAATTTAAATGTAGGTGCCTAGAATAAAGTCCCCCCGGAGTTGCTCTGCTGTGAGGGCTGGCCGGCCTCTCTGGGGGCTTTCTTTCTGGACAGCAGCTGGGAGTAGAATGAGCACGTTTTCATCTTCACGTCTATGGACATCTCTGCAAATAGGAAGAGACTCCAGAAAATTGGCCGAGGCCTGGATCTGGGGAGGGTCTCGGGGATTCTCCACGTGGAACCGTGGCCTCGGACGTTTGTGGCCTCATAGGTGGCACGGGTGGAGGGCTGACATGGGGATGGAGGTGGAGAGCAGTCTTTCTTCTGGCTGGCCGCTGAGCGAGGTGTCTCAGCCTGCTTCAGAGTGGCACGTGATCCGTCCTTCCCTGCACATGCCTGGTGCCACACAGCACACACCTGGGTCTGCGGGGGTGGCAGGGAAACCGCTAGAATCTCCAGACAAAGCCCCATCCTCAGCGGGGAGAGAGGATGGGCAAGAGGCAGAACAGCCCCAGGGATGCCCGCATCCTGATCCCCGGAACCTGTGAATTCGTGGGTCACTTCGCAGACGCCAAGCCCTCGGGGTCCTCGAGGTGGGGAGACCGTCCTGGAGCGTCACCTGGGTCCTGAGAAGCGGGCTCTCCCGGTGGCAGTCAGAGGGAGAGGTGCCCATGGAGGGAAGGCGGAGGAGGCGATGCTGCTGGCCTTGCAGGTGGAGGAGGGACAGTGGGCCCAGGTGCAGGCACTGCTGGAAGCTGGATGCAGGGAAGCGGAGTCTCCCCAGCACCTTCCCTGCAGCCCCGTGAGGCCCGCGTTGGAGCCCCGACCTGCAGAACTAACACATCTGTGCCGTGTGGTGTTGTGGAGTGGGTGGCAGTTATGGCCGCTACAGAAAGCGAGGATGGTGCTGTGGAGATCTGAGGGCAGAGGGGCCGCTGGGAGTCTCCATCTAGGACCGCGGGTACCAGGTGTGGTGGTTGCAGCTGTGCCAGCATGCCCTGGGGGCTCGTTGGGCGCACACACCACACCGACTCAGGACGTGCGGGTGACTGCTGGCCCGGGCCGTGGAAGGTCAGGAGCAATCGAGGTACGTAGAGGCATGTATGGCCATGCCCACCAGGCCAGTGCTCATGAATCCGAAGGGAGAACAGTGAGCACAGTTGCAGGTTTCCTCTTGCGCTTCAACCTGGTGGGTGCGGGTGTAGACAAGATGGAGAGCCGGATTGAGCAGGGTTATAGTTTAGCCAGTCGAGCGTGC